TTGTGTGGGCACTTAACTGGCCCAATTGCCAAGGCACTAGCCAGGTGAGTGGTTTTTTGCGTCCGGAGATATAGTTTGTTGCTGATTTTTTTGGAAAGGAGAGAACAGCTGCTCACCCTTAGGTCCCTTCGGGGGAAATAGAACTTCCACGTGCATGCCCGCATGTATGCATCGTTTGTCAGTAGTAAGAAAATAAACTGAACTTTTCCGGGCATCTCGCAAGAAATCACTATTCTCAATTGGTTGCCCCTCACAACAGTAATGTTATCGGGTGTTCTTTCTAATAACCCCATGACAAGATCAACTTAGATATTCTACCTTTATGCCAACCGGTCCAAGTTACCATCCAGGCATGTCATCTGGATCTAGAGTATGAAAAGAAGTGACTGCTTCTGGAGCGTGCGTTCAAATTTTTTGTTTCTCGATTGTTGGTAAAGTTATTGGATAAGCCGGGTAAAACTGTCGAATAGAATGTGCGTTGTCAAGCAACAAGGGAATAAATTATCCATTCATTGTCAAATGAATTTGAAGCAACTTGGCTTAAAACATACTTGTATTAATTGCTGCATCTAACAGATAACCAAATTTGGTCGTCAAATCAGTGAGTTTCTGGGTCACTCTTGCAAAGCGTGGGTCTGCAGACTCTGGAAAGGCTTCTTCATACTAAAATGGGCCAACGCCAGGATAGCTTTTTGCACATCTGATTTGGTTTAACATCATAGGACATGATTCTATGCATGATAATTCCAAAGCTATGAAGGGTGGTGTCCAAAAATTGTATCTTGTCACTGTTATCTTTTCTCGCTTCTCTTGCGAATAAATCTCACTGCTGGATGTATAATACAACAAATCATTCCCGATAGCATGATGGACTCAGCACGTGTATCCAGCTGAATGTAGCCCGTTAATCAATCTTTTATCCGGGCACAACATTTTGCTTTCGGCGATCTGTTCTTCCAGACGGCAACTCCGTCCAAACGCGTAATTAAACAGTCTCCCGAACTTTTGTGCAACAAAACAGCCTGGGTTGGCTATGGTTCTTCAATCCCCGTGGGAATAGTCTATATCGGCAGCAAAACGCTTTTGATTTCAACATCGGCTTTTTTGCAAGTTCTTTCACTCAAACAAATAATAGAGACTTACAAGAAAGACGGTACTTTCCAAAGAAACAAGGCCAATATATTGTTTGTCTTATAAGTAATAAAGAGTCAGTTACCATCAGTGGGACGTTTGGAGCCTAATTCAGATGCTCTATTTCTGGGATTCCGAAATCATTCGTCTCAGAAATTGGTGGATTCTCTACTGGTGAGTATAACGTCATCATCATTACTGTCGGATAGCGCAATGAACCCCAGTCAACATCATGTCGTCCCCTGTTGACAAGATGTTCTATACATCAGTGCTTGCACAGGAGGGAAGAATTTCCAGAAGAGCCCAGCTATGGAGATTGAGCTACATCGATTTTTTTGATGGTGGAATAGTACAACGGACACGTTGGAAGTTTACGTTTGCAACATAATTACGGATTCCACATTATTCGGAAAGACGGCTTTAGAAGTTCCGTGCTTTTTGTACATTCAAAAATAACACTCCATCTTGCCGGCTTGAGTTGGACTTTCATAGAGTGATTAAATTTTGCGTGAAAGACTGGCTTTCGGTTACCATGTGGGACATGTTATTAGCAGAACGAACCAGCTGAATTTCCACTGAATGAAAATGTATGCAATATGAGGGGACCACAGTGGGCAAAACTTCAGGAACCAGTCAGCATGACACTGGATCCGGAAATTTGCACGGGTATGGTTTCGCGACTGTGGATCAACAGAAAATGACACATTCACCTTGCTATTATAACGGATCATCTCCAGAAAAATGACCTTTGAGGTGCAAAATTATATCTGCTTCTTCGCAGCAATCGTATAAGCTTGGTTGAAAGCTTGGTTGAAAGGGGATATTTTAGTAGAGTGATTTCCTCAGAATGTCACCTTTCATAGACCCGGGTTTATGTGACGCAGGAAATTTTTTTTGGATTAAATCCATTGAAATACTGAATTTAAAATAATTACTGCCAGATATAATACTGTGATTAGACTCTCCATTCAAGGTGTTGGAAACTAAAATATCTAAGAAGAAGCCTAAGTTATGGTCGCTGTCTTTGACTGAGTTAATCATGCCAACTTGTCTAGAACTGTTGTCTTAAATGTGCGATGAAAGACTCGTGCGAAAAACAAGTTTGATGGTCCCCATTGATAAACACAATTTGTTTATGAGGGATACGATTTTTCTAAAGGTTAAAGAAGCGGGTAGCTGAGGGACAATAGCTAAACAATTGGCAGGATCTCCGATCACTTTGCTTAAAGCCAAGTACTTGGGCTTTTCCAGTGCCGGTGCGAATGCTACTCACCGGTTATCACAATTTTCATGTGATCATATTTGCAATGCCTAGGATATTTTGTGTGCTCTTTACTGATAAAACTGTCGGGTCATTCGGTTTCGTCAGTAGTCTGCGGTTTTTAGCAGAGGGTACATGCCTAGTCTTCGCATTCTTTAGTTTCAAGCGAACAATTTCTATAATATCAAGATGGATTAGGGTTTTTAGGCTATTACGCTAGTAGTATTCAAACTCAGAAACCACATTATTTCACCAAATCACCTAAATTCTAACAGGAAATGCGATCAACACCCCATGACACCGTGCCAAATTACATTCGCTCTGTCAATGTTTATGATTTTTTATAAATGACTTTTGTCCAGAATCAAAGAACATCTTTGTCAGTTGTCCATTGAACAGACAAGGAAATGAAGCTAACAATCGTTTGCGGGACTACGATATGCTTACAATTTTCTGTAAATTCCATATAGAGAAATTCGCAGGACGATTTAAGTGTACTAAAGTGTCAGGCTGTTCGTTTTTTCACATGTCTGAACTACTCTGGCTGTCATGAAATCCGAAATATCATCCTCTGAGAAACGCTATCAGTGACTTTTTCAGCCCTTAGGCAAACGATGGAAAGCAAATTATTTGGTCACATTGAAAAATGATTCAAAAGGCATTCGTGAGGTTTATGGGGACCGACAGGATTAAACTGTATCGAAATATCAAACGACAGTATCCTTAAGGGTAGCTGCTTTTTGCTGGCGGATTGACTCTTCTTTAGAACTTTCTGGGGAGGTGTGAATATGGTGCGGGTTTTACAAACTACCAATTTTATGCAACCTAAAATTTTGATTGCAGTTACTCTGCCGTTTGTCCGTTGGGGATTCTCCTTCCTTCTGACCTTCCAGAGCACACGAGCACTAGAAATCACATCTGCACAGTGCATGGTAAAACGTACTAACACGCAACATCGGACTCGAAAGGTGGGTCTTTTAGAAGTGGCATCACAATGGTTGGATAGTTCCGGTTAGTTGGTACAATCAGCCAGTGCGAGTTAGCAAAGATTAACCGAGGCATCTGACAGACAAGGTGTAATTTGTTCCATGTTTGAAAACTCGGAGGTTGAAAACTTGAATTCTGTACCGGGAAAGCCATCCAATTGTGTTAAAAGGTTATGATGGGTTAAAAGGTTTGGAAAAATTATTGGTAGCTCAGTTCTGGTACGCCTTGTAGACCATGGCTACCGAGTTGTGAATGCCTTCGTGTATTTTACGAGGTTAGTCTGAAGCCCTCAGCACTGAAGAGCTTGTTCTTTTATAGAGCACTGTTAACCAAATTTGTGGACAAAATTAGGTTTTCAGAGTTGTCTTACCGAAGTGTCTCGCCTAACATTACCTAATGAGCTTGCGTCCGTTTTGACTGTCAGGAAGCTTTATGAGCTGGCGGAAGCGACCCTCTTTCTCTACTTGACATCCAACCCCTAATCATATCCTCTGGTGACATAAATTTAGCACCCTATTGCAACGTCAACCTGAGTTTTTTTAATTTTCAGTGGTTCTTAGTTGCCTGTCTGTGCGAATGAAAAAATAACTTTCACTTGATCAAAAAATTATTATCAGTCCACCAGGAGAATGTTTTGGTTTTGTAATCAATTTAGCGAATTATTGTGAAAGAACACATGTATGATCAACTCGTTGTCGAACGTGCAAAAAAACTTTGACAAAACATCTGTTTGCTTCTTTCGGTTGGTTAGTGAATTCATGCACCAGTATGATCTCGATCAATACAAATTGCATTTGCCCATACAGTCTGTGATTCCATCAAATTTTTTAGTTGGAGTTTTTTACTGGTGGCCACAAAATCCACAAAAGTCGCTAAAGCCGCCACATTTTTAACTAGAAGTCAACTAACGTGTTTTTAAGAAAAAAGCATGGAAACCCCTCGGGTCATTCGAATGAGATGGTTATTATATGCCACCCTCCGGCTGGTGATTTTGCGCAAGGTACCATAATATTGCTGGCCAAATGCCCAGAGTTTAGCATCCCATTGGACCAAAGATTTCCATCAGTGACTAGCTCCAACGTTAGCATAGCCCAAATCTGTCATCTTCACTTTGCCGAACGCTAAGTTTCACATGCCAATCCCTGTTACGACACTGCTCACAATAGCGAGGAAGATATACTCTTCGCATATTTAATCGCGCATAAATGAGTTTGTGGCCTTTTATTTCACTTGGAGGGCTAACAGCACTAACGGTACCCAAATGTTCCGTAACAACTTTCATTCGTTATTGTTATGTCCATCTTTCGGCCACTCCGAAATTAGCATAAACACCAGTAGTCGTCTCGGAATACGTGATAGATGGTTCGGACATATTAAATTGGAGGGCTGAATGTGTCCATCCAATGAAGTACCAAACATACCAGAACATACTGCCTAGTTACCTCGCTGCGGATTCTCCGGTTCCAGACACCTCCAGCTATAGGTCTGAGACTCCGGTGGTGAAAGACTTGAAGACGCTTCACACCCTCCCCCGAAGTCACCGACTCCCGCAGTCGTACAACGATACAGTCTGTACCGTAGTCCGATACACGCATCCTTTGACACAAAACGATATGCCTACTTGGTGACAAGACGGCGCAGATTGTTAAAAGCACTTCTGACCTTTGAATATTGCGCTTTCGCTTCATCCATCGCATTATCATTAGAACTACTGTAACGACCATTGGGCAAGCCCAATCGATCTGCACCACTGTTCACAGGATCTGAATTGTCCATGGTAATTTGCAAGCCCGGAGCTGAGTTTTCAAACGTTCAACCAGAAAGAGCAGTCGAATTCGGGTTCGCCAGCGAGTTTTTCACAGTAAGCAGTTCGTACTCGTTCTCGAGTACGAACAGGTATTCTACCGCTCGTAAACCAGGGGCTATTTGTGGGTGCATTGACAGTTCCCACTGATGACGTAATTACAGGCATAGTAATCAAGGTTACGAGCAAGGCCAATCACAGGTAAATGGATAAGTCTTTAAGAAGCAAACTGAAGGCACGCAAAGATTTGATTCTGGTAAAATGAACCCCGAAGTCGATGAAACTTGGATGCAAGCAAAAAATCTGTCATTAGTAGATATCCACTCACTTTTAGGATTTACATGTAACTAAGCGGTTAAGTGCTTTCGAATAGTGTGTTCGCAGACACGGTTTAAAGAAGACCACCAAATCCAGTAAAATTCGTTGGCCCTCATTCTTCTCAACCTGGATGAAGTGCCCAAAATATCAAAAACCTTTTCGACCTTTACGCTCATCTGTATGCGAATTTGAATTTGACGGGAAACTCACCTGGAACCTAACTGATAATCTTGTTTACAATGTTGTTCAACTGAATGCGCTGCACCGAAAGCAAACACAGCTGTGCTGTTTGTGAGAAGATTTGACAACGCTCAGTTGAGATTTCACCCTTTAGCTGAAAATCCTGTCCATTCTGAAAAGCTGAGAAGCAATGTACAGCTTTTTACCCTTACTAGTAATCACAGGTTGCTTCTCACGAAACTCTGGGGAGTTTCAAACCCGCAAACTCCTGGCCAGTAATATGGACGCTCAACCGTTTGAACACTAAATCCAGTGGTTGGTCAAAATAGCGTTCAAACACTTCAGCTTAAATATCGCTGGAGTGCAGTGAGAGAACACTATCGATGAATCTGAATAAGGGTGAAACAGGCGTACATTTATGTTGGGCTTTTCGAATAAACACTGCTTTACTTACAGAAATAAATCTGACTCGGACATTTAAAAAGATCTGTCCGTCAAGCTAGGCAATTGATTTGCAGATGTTTCATCAAGCTCACCGAACAGAGCAACATCCATCTGATCAAATACCACCAAATGTATCCGAGCTACCAATATTCCAACACAATATCTTGCCTATGTTTCTTTACTACCCGACACTATTTGGGGGATTGATGACTCTCTACTCTTTTCAGTTTCAGAAGCGTGGTGTCTGAAACATACACGAATGTCGCTCAGTGACTAAACTTTGCCCAAACACATCCTGAGGCTATTTGCTATGGCTGTCTTCTGAAGGATCCGCACTGATCACCACTGCGTCCGGTTGGAGACAGGGCAAGGTATGGCTGCCAACCGATGTCAGTGGCGTTCTTGTCGTCGGTTTGTATAATAAGACCTTCACTCAAATCACGGTTGTATGGCAGCATCGATGTTGAACACTGATGTCATGCTGTCGATGATGATGATGATGATGATAATGGTGATGATGATGATAATGTCTGGGTCCATCAAAACCAAAGATATTATCATTTGTATTTATGATGATTCGAACGGTTAGCTGGAGTTTACCTTACTGTCTATGTTTCGGACATTTCTTTCTCATTACACCAGATGAAAAGGTTGCGGGTTTGCAAGGCTGGCGTTCTATGAAATACAACCACGTGAGTGCCGTGTTGAAGATGGGAAAAATACACTTTTCTCACACTACTGTGGCGGCAATGTGTTGATAATCGGGGGTGAGGTTTTTTTACGAAATATATATTCGTCCATTATGAGACACCCTGTATACCGATTATTATTATTATTACGAATATTACTTGACCTCAGAAAAGTGTACTGTTGTTTGGTAAGTCGACGAATGCATGTCAATCCTGAACCTGGTCCACATATGCACAGAACAGCTATGTGGACACCCTTAAACAAGTAATCCAAGCGAGACTACTGATCAATTGCCGCTGATTTCTTTGTCAATAAGCTGATTTTTCTTGTTGGGTTGAATGAAGGCCACATTAATGGGTGAGGTACGGTTAGTTCTTAATAACACGACACTTTTTTAAAAGAGTGGACTAGCGAATTAATCTGGGTCTAGTTGCGGAAGCTTTAGCGAACAGATCCATACACTCAACAAACTGCTGGACAGATTACAATCTCTACCAGAGAAGAAAACATGTTTTATACAAAAAAAGCACGAAGTGAGCTGTATGTGGCGAACTTTTCCAAGTTTACCCAAAACTCTCACAAAGGTTCCAGTTTGTCTACAAAACTTCTTATTAGCCGTAAAAGTTGGTTTTATCCAGGCAGATGTAGCTACTCATTTTGCTGCATAACATGCTGTTTCATATAAACCGGAAAACTCAATCAAATTTTAGTCATGTTAACCTGCAAAACGAGCAGAAATCAACTGAGGGTTAAGCATGTAAATATCATTTCCTGTTACATGAACTTGAGACCTTGCATTGCACGTGGAGTAAAATGCCCCATTAGGATTACTTTTTCAAATATTCTTGGTCATGTTGTATCACAGATCAACATTTACATTTTACAACCAAGAACACTAGTTTCTATTTAAGGCTTGTGTGTGAAATCACTTGCCTTTCGGGTCGGATGTTTAGACGGAGTGCGCTAACCATAACAAGCCGATTCGGCTGAAACCAAAAGCCATAAAACCAAAGTTCCTGTTTCACTGCCTAAACAGAATAATTAAAATCATCAGAATCCTCATGAAATCTGATAACTTTGGTTTGCATCACTTATTTCTACGGTCGTTTCACTTCTTCAGTCGGTCCCATCCAAAAGAAGGAAAACGGAACTGGATTTAGGATCGGTTTAGCAGTGCAAAATCAAAACTGGCATGCAAAACGAGCATGTTTCCACTTTTCCACCAGCGCAGTACGGGAGAATCTTAATTCATCATCATCATCATCATCATCATCATCATCATCATCATCATCATCATCGACAGCATGACATCCGTGTTGAGCAACAATGCTTCACTGCCGTACAACTATGATTTGTTTAAAAGCCTTATCGTATAGAAAACAGCAAAGGTAGACGGGGAAGGGACTTAGTACTAGCTTACCACAATCATTCCGAGGTGCCTACACCTCCAGACATTCACTCAGGGGATCTGGATAGAAACTGACAACAAGAACCCCACTAACATTGATTGGCAGCCATATCTTGTAGTGTCTCCAATCAGGTACAGTGAGGATCACGTGGTCCCTATCCTGGAAGGCGAGTAGCACCGACCACACCCAAGCGTTTCGTGATCTCATTCATGCTCCTCTGCCAAGTCATGGGTTGGCCACCTCTCTGTTTACGCCACTCTGAGTTGGGCATGGAAAACAGCACTCTCTTCGGCAAACGATGGTTCGGCATACGTAACACATGTCCCAACCAACGCAGCTTCTGGTGCTGGACACATTCTTCAATGGAAGTACCTGTTGTACAACCGAAAACGCGCTTTCTAACTGCCTCGTTCAGGATACGCCAACACCAACCCACACGAGCTATGGTTCTCAGACAACGATTGTCGAACAACTGAAAACGTCTCAGTTCGAATAGGCTAAGTTTCACATCCATACAACAAAACAGCCCGTACCGTAGCTTGGTACACACGTCCCTTAGGATTCTGGGATAAACCAGTCTGACGCCATAAGTGTATCAAATTAGCAAAAGTGGCCAAAGCCTTGCAGATTCGTGCATTCACCTCATCTGTCACACTACAATCAGAACTAATACAACTTCCAAGATACGTAAAACACTCCACAGCTTCCAGTACCTCTCCCTGGATTGTAAGTGGCGTGTTCAGTGACTGCACGCCAACGGGCAGGACCATACACTTTGCGGGTGCAAAGTGCATACCAAAGAACGGGATGATTTGGTCAGTTCATCCGGAAACACCTGCACCTTCTCTTCTTCTTCAAACATGAGAACGATGTCGTCTACATATTCTAGATCAACAAGGTTTTCTTCACAGGTTATTTGAATACCGGGTTTTTGGAGAACCTCCAGCGTTCGTCCCATTATTTCACCGATCACAAAGTTAAAAAGGAATGGAGAGAGTGGGCATCCCTGACGGACACCGCTTTGTGTACGGAAGCTTTTGGAGAGCTCTCCGTACACTCCCACACGTCCGGCAGTCTGAGACTACAAAGAACATATTATGGTTACAAACTTCTGGGGCATTCCTTGGCGGCCAAGCGTCTCAAGAAGAACAGACCAACCAACCGAGTTGAATACACCTCGAAAATCCAGGCAAATCAACAGGCAAACATGTTTTAGATTCGATCATTGTATTTCTACGAATACTGTAGCTATTCACAAGTGACCAAGTTTACTATTGATAGATTTTCCCGTTCGCAAATTATTCTATATATTCTACGTATGATGTAGTTCCCACAATTACCTTATCTAATGTTTCATTATACTGAGCCTTGTTAACAATACCGGGTTTTTGGAGAACCTCCAGCGTTCGTCCCATTATTTCACCGATCACAAAGTTAAAAAGGAATGGAGAGAGTGGGCATCCCTGACGGACACCGCTTTGTGTACGGAAGCTTTTGGAGAGCTCTCCGTACACTCCCACACGTCCGGCAGTCTGAGACTACAAAGAACATATTATGGTTACAAACTTCTGGGGCATTCCTTGGCGGCCAAGCGTCTCAAGAAGAACAGACCAACCAACCGAGTTAGTTGATGCTCAGTCGGCAAAAACAGCTATGTTTTTCTATAGCCAGGTCCTTATCCTCCTGTGGCCGAAACCTGTTACTAACCATTGTCTCCTCTAAATATGGTGGTATTAGACTTAAATAGTGAACCTGAAGATTTATTACTGGTAACAAAAATGGGACGCTCACTATAGCGGTCTTCTGCGGGAAAAAAGCACAAGCGATCTAATCCGGATGTCAGTACTTGCGTGATACAATCACGTGATGAAACTAGCATGGTGCGAATGGAGTAAGGTAGCGATGAAAAAAATTGTTTTATTCGTTCTCTTCTACTACGTACTGGTTACACTTGGAACCCCCCACTTAGTAAAAGTCATTAGAACTGCAGCTGGGGTCTTAATGCTCGGTCCAACATGCTACGCAATGTGATGTTGGTTTTTAACATGATTCGTATCTGCAGCAGCAGGGTCACACGGGACGAGTCAGTCATGTGAGCTTATGCTAATTAATCAATGCTGCCTGCATTGTTGATCAATAGCTTGAGCGTTGGGTACATGTAGACGTTAGCATATGAAAAGCAATCACAACCGAACACAAGACGTGAACTCTGCGTGGGATTTGAGGGTTTCTAGTGAATTTCGTTGTCTTCTTTGCAAGAACTTGGTTGCAGTTTCTTCCAGAGTGAACCGAATACCCCACAGAATTTTCGAAAGATCAACCCAAAAAGATCAAGTGTCGGGAAGAAGCCACAAGTGAAGTGAAAACTGCCTTCGATTCTTTAATAGGCTTGCGGCGATCTGATGTGATCTGGTGTGATATAAACTCATTAAATTTTCCAACAAAGAGCTTTTGTCTTGATATTCAGGATGAACATTATTTTTGCATTGCTATTTTACATGCCATTCACTGCACTGTATTATATTACGCCGAATGTATTAACGCACGATTCAACGTAGCCTGTTGTATTAACTTTTGTTTACTTGGTGTGTAAACATACGGGAGACCAAAACCAACAATCCGGTCATTCCAGGGTGGGAAGCTTACAGCATTGCTGGAGGTGTGTCTGTAAACTTTGTTGCTCAAACTTAGTTGACCAATGACTCGCACTAGCCTACAACAGTCTCCGGAGTGATTCTCCCCACCAGATGCCTTTTGTATGCACTATTAGGCTCAAAGGTTTATTTTTACCTTGTTTACTTGGCAATTATGGACTTCCATCGGGCATACCAATGACTTTAGAAATGGCTCTTTCTGTTCACTTCCCTCTCTCATTCCATCTGGTTCACAAGGAGTACTGGGTGGTCCGCTGCCTCAAAGCAAACTGTTCTATTTGATCATTTCATTTCAGCGCACCCTATGCCTGAGTTGGGTGGTTTGAGATAAAAAGTGATGTAAATCACTCATTTATACCCCTGGTTATTCGGATAACCTTGATATGCTTTTTGTTGTATTGTAATCTCGGTTTTCTAGACTTGACGTAAACGGACAGTCAAAAACGAGAGTTGCTGAATACACAGTGTCTTGGGCTCACGAGAGAGTTTCTAGCGACCTCAGTGACGTTTGTCAGTTCGATCGATTGCATCTGGATAAGATTAGGTTGGTCGATAAGTAAGTCCTAAAGTTAAACATGTACTTGACCATTCCGTAAAACTGTCCACAAACCGTACAATACGCTCTATGTTTACGGAGTGCACATGTTTAGAACACTGTCGTGTGAAAAGTTCTCCCGTTCCGTTCCATTTATTCTGGCAAGGCAACACCAAAGAAAGAAAGCATTAGACATGAGCTTTGCTCTTATTAAAGGTCATCAGCAATGCGCATGCGAAATGACCGGTCCTGTTCTGCAGTCTTATTATCGAGTGTTTGTGTGAGCATACACACAACTCTGCGTAGAAAAACCCAATGTGATGAGTGTGTTGTTCAGACCCTTCGTAGACCACAAAAAGTCACGATGTCGCCTCTGAGTTTTCTTGGTTCACAGGTCACGAGATAATAAATGTAATCTCTGAATGGGAAATGACGCAAAGCACTCTCTCTTAATTAGATTTGTACAAGACGTATCCTTGAAATCGACGCTATACCTGGCGGACGGAAAAAAATCGGTGAAACCCTTGGTGATGATCCTCATCTAAAGGGATCATATTCACACATATGTATAAAATTGGCCGCTTTAAAAGTTTGGTCTTTCATTAGCAAATGATTCCACTCAGCTCACAACTTTTTCGTAAAAACCGTTATCAGTAGCGGGATACCGTTAACGTGTGAGTTCGCTACCTGTGAAAAATCATCCATCGAAGTGTTTGCACGTCGAGTTTGAGTCTCAGTAGAATGGAGATGCTACTGGAATATCCCCATTCCGCCAACACGAACAGGATACCCATAACACTGATGCACTATACTGACATTGACCACACGTAATCCTGCTCACCAAGTGGATGACCTTGGAATTAATAAGCCAATAGGTCAGTGGTCAGACGGCCTTTATTGATTGGCTTGATATCGGACCAATGGGCGCACCGTATTATCTCACCGACCGAATTGAAGTATATGGAGGCCTACACAGCAAAAAACTTGCTGTTTATAAACGGAGGGTGATTGCAGACCCTGATTTCGGAGGGAGATGTTGGATNCACCGTATTATCTCACCGACCGAATTGAAGTATATGGAGGCCTACACAGCAAAAAACTTGCTGTTTATAAACGGAGGGTGATTGCAGACCCTGATTTCGGAGGGAGGATGTTGGATTATGGAACGAATTGGCCTTAATTGTGGTGCATGAGCATCCGCGACATGGAGATTGCGGTAAGTTATTGGAGAAGATATAAAAGTGGGTTGTGAGCCGATTGTCAGAGCACAAGGCCACAGTCAACTGCAGCTTGTTTGTTTTGGTGTTGCGGTTTATCTTGTGACATAAGACGATAAGTTTAGCACTCTAACTATAGGGGTCATATAATTGTCATCACACGGTTCCCCACTTTCAGAATTAGAATACACATGTACACAGCTGTGTTATAAGCGCTTTTTCCGGAAATGGGATCAGACAGTTTGTGCAATTTTGTACTTTGACTAGTGGTCTGAAGGTTGAATCTTTCATAGACAGGTCTTTTCACGGAGGTTGTCTGGTTTTGGAACATAATTAGATTGACGGTGACAGTTTGCCACACTGGTGATTATGTCCGTGTCCGGTTAGGTCTAATGGAGGAGCAGATGGTGTAAATTCGTTACCAGTAACGCGAATAAAAGAAATTTCCTTAAGTATTGATATTATCGGGAACGAAGTACAATCTAGCCTTGGCTGAATAAATACTTCTTGGACAGGCATCATAATCTTGATAGCAGTCTCAGTGTATCGTATGTGTATCTTTAAGTATCAAGAAATTTCAGGCTACTGTCAGCTTTCCTCCCGTAATTCATTTTCTCGTGGACAACAATCCAATAAATGGTTCTTCCAGTGACAGAAATATATATCTCATGCTTCCTCAAATAACGATGAGGATGGAAGAAGGATAAATTAGTAGATTATTGGCGACACCGCCAGGAATACCTGATTATCACAATGTGAAGTACAGTACTTCACTGAAATCACCTTACCAGAATAGTTCCACACAGAAGAACACTACAATTTCACATTATTTGGCTTTTGCTGGGTACTTCTTAAAGGATCACACCTGAATCGCAACAAGTATTTATTTGTGCAACCCGAAGGAACGAATGTTGATCATAGAGGTGACAAGAAGTTGGCAGCAGCTCATGAGACCTAGATTACTCAAATGCTCAATACTTTGCTTAATCTAGAAATAATCCTTTCATGCAGCAGCTTGGAGCCAAAAGGTTACGGTCTTTCTATGTACACAGTTTGTTTGCAAGTTCATTGTTATCAAGAATCTAGGTTTTTCGCCTTGATATGCATCTGTCCGCGAAAGAGATGGACGAGCCCCGAGGTCTCATGTAATCGGTATTCTCGAATAAGCTATTTATTACATTGTGCACGACGACTCTGAAACCTGACTCCATACGGCTTCTTTATAAGACTTAAGCACTTGGCCCGAAATTCAGGGTTTTGACAAGAAAAACACGTCTCACGGGGCAAACCTTTGACCATTCAGTGGAATTGAGGGCAACTGATGAGCAACTAATTGAAAGCCAAGAAAAGTTCCCTCTGGTTCTTGTTTACACCACAGTGTCACGAGGTCAGAAGGCCGATATCACCATAGTTTTGGATCTCCGGTTGCGGAGCTAACGGAAACCATATGCCGTGAAGTGGTAGACTATCAGATTCAGTAAGTGGAGCCCGAGTCACTACAGGTATGGGCGGCCATGCCTCAGAATATCAAATTCTGGACGGGAGAAGAAATAGAACTAAAGCCTGCTGCTGTAATTATTCACGTATACATCTTTGAGTGGGCATATTATAAATTACTTGGATCGGTTAGGTCGCGAGAACCTAAGAGAAAACAGTTAGTCTCTCTGCAATTGGAACCAGTGATTATTTTCTGACAATGAGATTAACATATGAAATCCAAATAAAAGTGACTATTCATTCAGGAGGATTTGTCTGCTGTGTGGGCTTATCGAAGTAACCTATATGGATCACACCCCGATGCATGTTAGCATAAGTTTTACACTTGGAAATCTACCTCTTGTTGATCGAATCAGGCGGAATATAGTTGAATTGAATTATCAAGAAGTAGCATAGGATTCTTCTCACTGTTGGTGGTGGATAACATGTACAAGATCAATGGATCCAGCATCAAACGCGAAAAAATACCACTAGAAAACAAAAAAACAGGGATCAGACTGATCAGATGGTGACTCATCCACACTCAGCTCTATTGAGGAGAAAAGTTTGGCACCCATCAAACAGTGCAAATGACAGATCTTTGCGGTCGCTCAACAGAGATTGGTCTTGATGCATTTATTGTCATCATACAATGGAGTCCAGTTCAGCCCAGTCACATGATTTACCTTCGGTAGCGGAATTGCCGATGTCAAAAAAACCGATGGCGAAATGGCAGAACAGTCATACAAAGTAGCGTGAATGCAAACTTTGGGTGAGTTGGAAGAACCGTTGGCGCAATATAAACATCTCCAGTAACTGCATAAGATATGGGTGATTGAAAATTTGACCGTACAGTAAGTATTTTCATTGGAAGAAGTGAACCTGAAGAGAACCAACTACCGAACAAGTCGTGTGGGTACGGCTGGCAACTTGCTTCGTTTTCCGGTCACTGGTGTTGTGGGAAAGGAGTCGTTGAGGGCCAGTGAACGGGCAGGTGCACGATCCACTAATAATCCGATGCGAGGTAACTACAGGAAGAATATCGTTAATAGACTGCTTCATGAATTGTTTACTGGCTTCTGCGATACCTGTTCAGTTGACAGGAAAGCGTTAAATTCTATTGAGAATGTGGAAAGCACCATTGTCGTTAGAGAGGACATAGGGTGCACAAATTTGTAAGCAGCTATAAAATAAACACATCTCATCGTCATTTTGAATAAAATTGCTAACCTTCAATCTCCTTTCTGAACCTGACTTGACGAAAACGCAGCGCACAACGACAGGCGAACTTGGTACGAGCTTAGTGCTTCGGCTAGAAAGTGGCAGCAATTTGCGTGTTCGCAGTGCTCGTCATATCTGTAGGATTTCTAGCCACGTGCGAATAGAAGCATGTGAAGTTCAATCACGACAGCTAGAATAACTCACAGAGCTTAGTTTGACCATGATAGCTTTCATTTGACCTGGTCATGTCGTGAAATGCATCAATGATAACTTTTGCCAACAGTCTTTTGGAACAGAAAACCATTTTTTGTGGCTGGGTATACGCACAAATGTCTCTAGTACGTTTCGGTCACCAAACATACACGGACCATTTGTCCGCGCGCACGCTGCAGTCTCCCAACCCGTTCTGCCCTACGGGAACACACGTGACCTAATGTTTAAGAATAATTATGATACTTGAATCATAGTACCAAGTCCTACAACTTGTAATTAAGATAGCTTTACGTTTGTCAAGTATACACAATGAGCTAACTTGAGCAAAATCTATTTCTAAATAGCAAACGTATGAGACGCTGCTAAACATCGATTTCCTACACGTCCACTTAGTGCACTGTAGTACCGTTAACTCCTAAGTAACTGTCAAAATATGCAAAGCGATACAAAATCTCAATTCTTTCATCATACAATGGGAGGTCCTTGGGTAAACATTTGCACTTTGGAGATGGGAAACCGACACTCAAACATGAGACAATCTCCAATAAAAAAATATAAAACGGCAAAAAGAACCTGCTTGGATGATTCAGGTCTACTGATTACCCACCAGTTTCACGGTCCCTTGAAGTGATTATTCCAGGATAACGTCGATCATATAGGTGAACAGTAAAGACAATAGGAGACGAGCCTTACCAGCTACACAGATTGTGAAGAATCTCGGCATTATCTCGCGCAGGCAGAGAAAGCCTCGCTTAGAGGACAGAAGAAAGTTTCAACAGGTTGCCCACAGATCATGACCAGAACATGACCAGTGACCACTTTTTCACTCAGGTAGCAACAAAAGATGTCATTTCAAACCTGTCGTAGAAGAATGTGAATTGAACTGAATTCTTGTAGGAGAACGGAAACCGGATAAGTTTGTGCTTGGCGCTTTTTGCCGATCGTGCTCTTGGACAGCAGCGTTTCGGGGTATTTTTTTGAGTCAACGGACCCTACTCATGTAAGAAGGTAAAGCAGGAAGTGATTATAGAGGGATCAAAATCAATGTCCACGAAGAGAAATAGTTGCGTCGAAATCCAGCCAGCGCCATACTGTAGAGTGGCAGCAACAAACAACCAAACCTCAGCACCGCAGGAAATCTAAAGAGAAACTGATACCACAGGGGCCTTCAAATGAAATATTGTGTGTTACTTGATACGACAGATCCTAAAATCGGTATTCTTACGCATCCTGACTATTTACCTTAAGAAAGCGCAGCACATAGAAATTTCATAAAACAAAATGTAAAACGAGTGTTCTTATGCCGAAAACCAATGAGCAGCTCGAATTCTCTGATTTTGTTCAAGTTTTAAACGTAAAAGACTGCAAACATTTTAAAGTCTACTGAAAATTTCCAAAGAACACAATAACACTCGCGAATACCACTTTGATGATTTTTAAAGGTTTTTTTTGGAACCCCTTCAGACTAAATTGCCAAGTGGCCGTAAGGACATTTCCATGGTAATAGACCTAATTTTTGTCCTATGCACAATTGCACGCTATTAAACAGTAGCCTAGAATTTGTATGCTATCTGTAAGAATATGTAAGAATATGGTCACCATTTAAAGATTAAGACCCGCAGTCGAACTTTGTGCACGAGAAAAGTTTCAAATTTAAGTAGATTTTATCCTGGAAAGCAGACAGTAGATTTGCATCATCCATCCATCTACTGTATGGTCCATCGTACAATATATATATATATATACATATATTAAAAATCTGGAAGAACAATTCACTGACCGAAAGATCCGTACTTTGAACTCGACCTCTGCCTCTTGAATTCCCCGTTTAGACTTGGGTAACGTAGCAGTACCCCAGCACTCGTGCCTCCCTCGGATGGCATGGCAGGTAGGCGCCGAAAGAGTGCAACAGCTGAACGATTTTTTTAAAAGTACTGTGTGACGGGTTTGTTGCAATAACAGATGCGAAATCAGTTTTTTTTCGAATCCGCTCGATCACGTGTTCATGAGCCACCCTACGTAGCACACTTTCAGCTTCACTATCAGTAATGTTCACATGGATAAACCAATGACAATGTCTACTGCTCAT